ATATATATATATATATCAGCTACTAGCCTGCTTTTAGTGTCTGTGCCACGGCATCTTCCGGTGTATCACCGAGCCAATTCATTTTTTTATCGTTGTGTATCACTTCAATGGAATCACAATCTGCAACTATATATCTGCAAAAGAGGATTAAAAAATCAAACTACGTAAAATTTATTTCAACATCTCTGACAACAAAAGACTAGTAGATTTTTTTGTATACCCGTTGAGTTTCCAATCTTCTCTGAATGTTTGTTTTAAAAGAAAGGGATCAGCGCAAGTTGGAATTTTGTTGACTTTATTGAAAGAGCACATTACGCTGCTCACATCACCATCTCTAACACACATTTCAAATGGACGAAGAAAAGTTTCCACCATATCTTGCTCCGTCACCTTCATTCAAACAAGAAGAAAACTTCTTCAATTGGCTTATCAATATGATACTTAAGTTTTCATCTATATATACATACACTGCACTAAATTTACCTCTGCATCGAATGTCTGTCGATTAACTTTGTTCCAGTTATCAAGATCATAAGCAGCGAAATGTTTGCAACATGCAGAAACCTTAAGAGGTCTAGAGCCAGGATCTGCTGTATGTTCTTGTCCTTCAATATCTTGCAAACCTCTTACATAATTAACGCCATACACACCGACCACGAAAGGATCTTCTCCAGACGTCTCGGTGATCCTTCCCCATCTAGGGTCCCTTACGGGATTTATGTTTGGACTCCAATAGGTTAACCCACCTTGCCCCAGATTGTACATTGCCCTTGCTTCTGTTGAAACGACCTGTATATATATGCATATAACAACAACAGTTACAATGTTATTCACTATCATCAAAAAAGCAAAAAAAAAAAACCAGATGTTCCTACCTTTCCAATGGCATTCCAAAGCGACTTATTAAAGGATGCAGTTGTGTGGATAACGGTGGGAAAGCTTGTTGCACCAGGAACAAGCTCCGTAAAGAACGTGCCGCGGCCGACATGTGCGACACCATGCAAAGCTTCAGACCACCATTGATATTTGGGCAACCTCAATCTTGGTATAGGCCTAGAAACGTTGTCTCCCATCCAACGCACCTTCTCTGTTAAATTCATTCTATCCACCAAGTCTTTAGCTCTAACTTCATATGGAAGACTTGTGTCGCAATATCCTATGTCAGACATGTTCACATTTCTCGCTTCCCATTCGTGAGGATCACAAACTATAGAAGGTGGGTCTCCTTGCGGCTTAAGATCACCCCCAAATGCTAAACAAATAGGTAAAAAATAAATAATAACGAGGGAAAGAGTACAAAGAACATTGAAGCTTTGTGCAGCCATGGTTTAACTTTTTTTGTGTCTGCGTGTGGACTGTGGAGAATGTGAGGATTGATGACCCTTCTTATAGAAAAGTATAAATCAACAAGATATTAGATAACCACTATCATGTAAAATTTGATAAAGCTATGAGAACTGTATTTTATCCAAATCTAAAAATTGACCAGTTGTTGGAATTTAAAAATTTCTGGGCTTTAGAATATTGCTTTTGGTCAAGTGGTTTTCTTTCTTATCAAATCAATTTTATGTAAGCATGCATACATTCATTATCAACAGCAGGCCTAAATCAAGTCATACTTTCATTTGGTACGTAGGTGATTGAAACTACCTGACTAGTGAGAATGATAGCTGCTCACATCCACTACATAGAATGAGTAAATATAAATGCCTTATCTGTTGGAAAAGATGAGCTACATGTTCTCCTTCTCTTGTCATTTCTAGGCCATATTTGAACAAGCAAACCTAACATGAATGTTTTTGCAAGAAAATCTCTGGCTATATAATCAGTACCACACAGCCTTAGCACATGAATGTTTCATACCAGACACCTTGTCATGGCTGTTAAAAAGTTTTCCTTCATCAGTTTATCATAACAACATACTTGTCTTCTTTGTATTTTAGTAATCAAATTATATCTAAACACTCGACTTACATGATGCTTCATTGCAAAGAAACTTGCCTGGAAGGGAGATAAGTGCAATTCTCTACACTAGAAAAACAGGTCGGTTGATGCTTCTGATGGCCCTTGGTTGCTTTGTGTGGTGAGGTTGTCAACAATCTGGAGAAAACAACAGTCAGAAAAATTTTCATGTATTATTTTTGTCAGGTGCCAAACTGTCTTTATTAGCAGATGATGAGCTAAAACAGTTGTTTAGGTAGACCACACAAGCCTGCTATAAGTCTAAGTTAAATTACTAGCCTTATTTTAATCAAGGTTTAACCTTCTTGATTGTACAAAATTTGGATAATCAAGTATAACTGCATCTTTTTCCGGTATAATCAAGAAAAACGTGTGTATGAGTCAAAGGCATCAAGATCCAAGAGCAATCAATATCAGAATATAATAAAAAAAATTGAAAAAATTTCTTGTTGCACTGATACGGTAAAAAAGAATAACTTTTTTGTTTGCCTTGTCATATTATTATTCCATGATATATAGAAAAGGAAAATGCTGATTTCTTTCATTTTTTTTTTTAAATCCATTCATTGTTAGAGCATCAACTAATGGTCAACAATGGCTTGTGTACAACTTAAATCCTGAATACATTCTCAAGGTAAATCTTGACCTGTCTGAATATTGTTGTGTGAAACAATGGAGTTTTATGGAGGCATTGTTTTTCGGTACATGAGGAATGACGCTGGGTTTTCAGCTACACAAGAGGATTATTTGTTTTTAAAGTTCTTAGCACTGATATAATTACCCTACCTTTTGAAAAGCTTTACACCATCTGATGAGAGTTTTGGAGCTTTGCTGAAGTTGACTATGACTAAGCATATATAACTAACATATATGATCACATATCCACCATAGCAGACACTGGAGTAGGATGAGAATATAAGCTGGTTATATAAAACAAACATCCATGTATAGACTGGATCTGTAAGAGGTTCAGGCATAGTGGGAGAATATCTCCTAGTCCTGGAGCCCTACCTAGTATATTCATATACATTTGCAGAACCTCAATCTTTCATCATCAACAAAACAGAAAGAGAGTGCTACTGACTTTGAGGATTCATTCTTTGCTGTCTTCTTTGCTGTCTTCACTGAGTTGTAACTTTGAGCTATTGTCCTCGAAACTTGTAACAGAGATATTTAAGCATAAAAGACCAAGTCCCATTCTCTCTCTCTCTCTCTCTCTTACACAGACACACACATTCATGAAAGAAGAAAACAACTTAATGCAATTATTATCCAAATCTAAAAATTGACCAGTTGTTGGAATTTAAAAATTTCTGCTTTTGATATTGCTTTTGTCAAGTGGTTTTCTTCTTATCAAATCAATTATAAGTAAGCATCCATACATTCATTATCAACAGCAGGCCTAAATCAAGTTCATACCTTTCATTGGTACATAGGTGATTGAAACTACCTAACTAGTGAGAATATAGCTGCTCATATTCACTATCATTTCCTGTCTTTTAGTACACCGAAATGGCATCTAATCATACTGATAACTCTATTATATAAAGTTATCTTAGACATCTTTGAAGCTTGAATTTTTGCTAAGTTTTTTAGTTTTTTTTTTATGTTAGTGGTTTCTAGTTTTCCTTTTAGAAATAATTTAATTTATGTTATGCTAAGTTCCATTCATGCAAGTTTAGCTTAATTTCTTATCAAAATCCCTCAATTCAGCCTCTGATTATTTAATCCCTTAATGTTGAAGAACATACAAGACTTGGAGCATGAATGCAAAGGAGGGTGTAATTAGGCTTAAAAGCAATCGAACATGCAGAAGTTTTTGAGGCATAAATTGAGTTGTAGAAGTCCGATCGGAGGTGATTTTGAACCAATGGAAGCTGAGAGGGTGAGCTACAACTTTGATGTTTAGCACTTGGCTCAAATCAAAAGGAATCATGACCAAAAATAATGCTGAAAGTGAGGTCTAGAGCAACTCTGCACAAGGCAGCTTGAAGCAGAAAAACAAAGAAACAGAAGTCTCAGATTATGAATATTTCTAGGCAAGCTAAAAAAAGAGAGGGTATAAATAGAAAGTTTTGCACTAAGAAAAAGAGAGATTTGGAGAGACCATTTTAGCAAAAGAAAACAAGAACAAAATGGGAAAAAAAAGAGAATCAAGAGTTGGAAGATTAAAAAGCTGCAACAAAACATTTTCTCACTCTAGATTTGATTCTCTCTCTCTACTCTTTTGTAGAATAATGTTTTTGTTGGTTGAAACGTGTACTTTTTTTGAATATGTGAGCTAGAGTTTTTAATCTAGGATTATGGTGGATGCTATGTGTAGTTGGATACTTTAGATTCTTCCTCTACTTGCTTTATGAAAATGTCAATATTATTCAAATTTATACTAATGCTCATTGTTGCTTGATCATCAGCAAGTGAGTATAGAGTTTTAGATGAGACTTGAGAAGAACAATCTAAAAGGACTCAATTTGAGTAATATATGTTCATTCCATACTAAGAAATTAAGTGAGTGATTAATTAATAAGATAGACATAATATAATCATACATAGTCATATAGGTCCTAAACTTAGTGAATTTAGCTTTAGTTAATGTCTTATGAACATATAGATAGTTAATGAAGCTAGGCAATTATGTGATAACTCGACGGAGTACCATGCATGCTTAGGGAACCCTAAACTAATATTGATTCTCATAAAAGTAGGTAGTTGATTGATCTTGTATCCTACAAGTAATAGCTGAAATCATAGTCTTAGGCCTTAATATATGTTCTCCCACTATACATTTAACTTGCAATCCTTAGATTAGAGTAGACTTTTAAGTAAATTTTATTTAATTTTAACAACTTGCTTTTCTTGTTGTGATAAAACTTGCTGTTACAATTAGTAATTAGTAACAAATAGTAATCAACTTCTCGAGGATCGACAACTCTATTATCATTATATTACTGTTGTAATTATGTGCACTTACGCGTAATCCTTACTTGTATTCTCATTTAATTTGAGCACAATTCATATCAAGCAAAAAGATTTGTCTTTAAAAACAAACCAACACATACTCGTACACCTTTTTTTAGTGAAATCAATTGGGAGGATGTTGCGTTCTACACTACACATATGCCAAATTTTCGGACCTGACATCTAGACGTGATGATGTGGCTGCAAACCTACCAAGGAAGATGTCAGAAGATGGAGCTATAAGTTCAGTACCTTCTGTTCTTCTGTATTTTTGTTTATCTTGATATCTTTGCTATTGCTATTCATGAGTTGCAGTAAGTGTTGGAATATGGGAAATGCAACAAGCTACTAAGGCACTAAGCTAGATTTTTTTTTTTTTTTTTAAAAAGCCCCTGAAATATTACCAGTAGAGTTACAGACTTTTGGTATCATACAGTCTAAAGTTTTTCTTAGGAAATTTGGGGAGTCTAAATTAAAGGGAAAGACCATTACATACATGATTTAGGTAGCTAGAGGCATTGAAGATGAATAATTGACATGAAAAAATGGAGCAATTTTCGACTGATGCTTGATAAAGTTCCAAGCAATTGATAAGGCCATATGCTGAGTTGTGGTTAATATTCCTGTGAGGTGGTCAGTTCACAGCCAAGTGAGTATATGCGCATGAGTGAGCACCATCTTGGTTCTTTATTTCATCAAATCCTGAGACCATGGACCAGATTTGTGGGGTGAATTTTGTGCTCTATGTAGTTGGATTGCTCTCTGATGTATGTTTTGGCTTGGTATGATTGTTTTTTATATCATGTCCTTCTAACTGTTTTGTCATCGTTATGTAAATTTTATTCATTGCAGGCATTTATAATTGCTTCAACTGCAACCGAGGAAGAGATGCTTAATGGTATATACTTGAGCGCAGCGTCTTTTTCTTTTTTGGTGCACTGCTTCATTCCCTTTCAACTTGATTCTGGTGTGTGAGTTGCTGATGTAGAACTATTGGTCTCTTATCATCAGAGCTGGCATCAAGCATCTGTTAGGAAGGTGCTAGAAATTGAAGCTAGTGCAGCTCATGAGGCTGCTCTTCCACCATTGTCACCCCCCAGCATGGACAATGACGACTTCATCAGAGAATGATGGAGTGTCTGGTGTGAATGCTTCTTCTCTTCTCCTACTTGGATGGTTTGCTTTGAAGGATGGAATCAATAAACAAAGAAAGAGCAGGCAGGCGTTCTTGTTCTTTTGTTGTGCATAGTCAGGGAGACTTCTGCTCTGCAACTGATGTTGAAGCAGAAATTCTTGTTTTTTAATATCTTATCTGGTATACATATTTGCAGTATTCATATTTGTAGACATTTGGTGTGTGTATCTTATTTATCTTTATGTATTACTTGATCTGGATAAATATAAAACAGAAATAACTAAGTCATATTATGGTGCTTATCAGATATTTGGACTATAACAGAAAATTTCTCCCAGAATTGTATTATAATTTCGATCATTGCTTATTTGATTATGTCTAGTACTGCATATTTGATCTACTAAAATACAAACAATGATTAAGAGAGCCAAGTTAGTCTATAGAATGATTGTTAATCCATTCAGATGATTATGGTGACACTTATTTCGGTACAGAGTAAAACAAAAGCACAGCACAAAACAAAAACAACTGAACTTAATTCTAAGTTCCCAGAACCAACTAATAAACAACTTAATTCCTAAAATGAATCAACAAATCTGATACTTATCTAACTAGCGAAGCTGACATTTACATCAATTTGTTCGGATGATGTTCCCAACATAATTTTATGCAACCCAGATGGCAAAAGTGTGTAACCGCTGCCGTCGACAATGTTCAAGCTCTTGCACGCATTGAGCTCAAAGTTAACCTTTTGGCTCTGTTTTGCAGCAACAAAAACTCTTTCAAATCCAACAACTTGTTTAGAAGGAGTTCCCACAATTCCCTCCGGAGGCTTTGAGTACAAACACCACTTCACTACCATCTTTGTCGCCGGTATTCTGAACTTCAACCTCAACGGCTATTTATCTTCACAAGTTAAATCATTAACCACAAGAAAGGCATGGTTGCTGGACAGATGTGTCTGTCAATTCCAACTCCCGACAGTGCTGGGTATTACTCAGTTTAATAGGGATAGATACATTGTGGGTGTCGTCAACTTGTAGTCAAAGCTTGTGTAGCTTAGTCCATATGCAAAAGGATATACCGTTGCCCATTGAAAGATTTGTATGTTCTTCCAGGGTAACCTTTTTCCTCGACGGACGCAATTGCATGGATGTCATGGGTAGCTTATCCACATAATCAGCCTGTATACCATGTAAGGGTAGTCTTCCTCCTGGTAAAAACAACCAAAAAAGGAAAAAAAATAAAAAATCAAATCATGTTAAGTGATTATATTAAGTAAATTTCTGTTGGTGAAAATCAAGCATTAAAATGGCTCCTTACCAGGATTGTATTTTCCAAAGACAACATCTGCAATGGCACGACCACCTTCCTGACCAGGATGTCCAACCCACAAGATTCCTTTGATTTTATTATCATCCTTAGCAAATGAGATATCAACCCCACCTGCAGTCATCACTACAAGAATTACTGGACCTTTGGAGGCATTAGCAACTTGTTCGACCAAGTCCTGTTGCAAACCAGGAAGGAGGAGATCATCTCTATCCAGTCCCTCTCCCTCAATTGATAAATCTGTACCGACCACAAGTATGGTAGCATCTGCTTGTTTCGCAGCTTCGGTCTTGCAAGATCAACGTATCATTTGGGCATTTTACGCCAGGACATCCCTGTTCATATATCACTTCTCCGAAGGCAGAAAAGCCCGAAAGTGGAGAAACAAATCGGCAAGGGTTACCTGCAATAATGGAAGAAACCAATATTGTGTAACTGAACAATAAAATGGGAATCAAATACGGAAAGTGTTATATATGATGTTGTTACAACCTTCATAATTCCCGATCATTGCAGTCGTAGCATTGGCATGTGGCCCAATTATTGCCAGGGTCTTAAAGGCATCGGGGTTCAATGGCAAAGTTGCATCAAGATTCTTCAGAAGTACAGTTCCTTCCCTAGCTGCTTGCACTGCCAATTCAATGTGGTCTTCGGTACATATATCACTCTTCCCAAGTGACATAAAAGATGGACTTCCATCAAAGAATCCAAGTCTCATTAGTACCGTATAGAGGTACTTTAAAGATGTATCAACATCTGCCTCATGAACTTTTCCTTGCAAGACTGAATTTTCAAGAGCATTAGGGTAATTGACTCCACAGTCAAGATCTACACCTGTAACATGCATGAAAGAAAATCTTCTTTAATCTGTTGTCAAACTACAAACATTACTCTTAAAAATGCATTTGGCTAATGTTTGTTAGCTACTAGCCTGCTTTTATTGTCTGTGCCACGGCATCTTCTGGTGTATCACCAAGCCAATTAACTTTTGTATCATTATGTATCATTTCAATGGCATCACAATCTGAAATTATATATCTGCAAAAGAAAATTAGAAAATTAAACAAAATAAAATTTATTTCAACATCTTTGACAACAGAAGAAATAAGTTTTCTTGTATACCCATTAAGTTTCCACTCTTCTCTAATCGTTTGTTTTAAAAGAATGGGATCAGCGCAAGATGGAATTTTGTCGACTTGATTGTAAGAGCACATTACACTACTCACATCACCATCTTTAATACACATTTCAAATGGACGAACAAATGTTTCCACCATATCTTGCTCAGTCACCTGCATTCGAAGAAAAGAAAAACAGCTTCAATTTGCTTATCAATATGATACTCAAGTTTTCATTTATATATACATATATGTCACTGAAATTACCAGTGCATCGAATGTGAATCGATTAACATCTTGCCACAAATCGAGATCATAAGCAGCGTAATGTTTGCAACATGCAGCAACCTTAAGAGGTCTAGAGCCAGGATCTTCTGTATGTTCTTGTCCTTCAACATCTTGCAAACCTCTTACATAATTAACGCCATACACACCGACCACGAACGGATCTTCTCCAGACGTCTCGGTGATCCTTCCCCATCTAGGGTCCCTGACGGGATTTATGTTTGGACTCCAAAAGGTCAACCCAGCTTGCCCCAGATTGTACATTGCCCTTGCTTCTGTTGAAACAACCTGCATATATGCATATTACAACAACAATTACAATGTTATTCATTGTCATTTTTTAAAAACTAAAACTAGATGTGGATGGTGACATAATTTCTACCTTTCCAATGGCATTCCAAAGCGACTGGTTAAAGGCTGCTGTTGTGAGGATAACGGTGGGAAAGCTTGTTGCACCAGGAACAATCTCAGTAAAGAATGTGCCATAGCCAAAATGTGAGACACCATGCAAAGCTTCAGACCACCATTTATAGTCAGGCAACCCCAATCTTGATATACCAGAAGCCCGATCTCCCATCTGTTGTGCCTTCTCTTTTAATGTCATTCTATCCACCAAATCTTTAGCTCTAACTTCATACGGAAGACTCTTGTCGCAATATCCCAACTCAGTCATGTTCACTCCCCTCGCTTCCCACAATTTAGGATCACAAACGTAAGAAGGTGGTTTTGGTATAGGCTTAAGATCACCACCAAATGCTAAACAAATAGGCAAAAAGTAAATAATAACGAGGCAAAGAGTCCAAAGAACATTGAAGCTTTGTGCAGCCATGGTTTAACTTTTTTTTTTTTTCGTGTCTGCGTGTGGACTGTGGAAAATGTGATGGGTGACCTTTCTTATAGAAAAGTATAAGTCAGTCAGATCAAATAGTTTAGATTAATATCAACAAGATATTAGATTATTTGATAAGCACTATCATATAAAATTTGATAAAGATAGCCCACGAATACTATACTTTTATCCAAATCAAAAAATCGACCTTTTGTATAAAGTTAATTTTGTTAAGTGTTTTTCTTCCTTATCAAATCAATTTTACAATAAGCATGCATACATTCATTATCAACAGAAGGCCTAAATCAAGTTCATACCTTCTTTTTTTTTTTTTTGGTTATTTTTTGTTAGCTGACTTTTCCTCCAGAAGAAATTAATTGGAGTGATTTGTTTATAACCTTTAGCTGTTTTGCTTCTCAAATAGCAGATTTGTATTTACAACAAGTACATCAGCTGGCTTGGAGCAGATTTTACCATGGATGTTTTATCATCAAGCTATAAGAGTCACAACCTTTTTCCTCTTTGTGGAAGGGCATGCTGCATCTCTTTCTAGAGTTTTGGAATATAATCCTGTGAGTTTATGAAGCTTTTGGCTTCCTCCGATTTAGATTTGCTCTGTTTTTCATAACTATAAGTAGAATTGTTCCAGTTGATTTACTTGTGAATGTCATTGGTCCAAACTGTTTATAGAATAAGTTATATGTTGGTGCTCTCCAGGGAGTAAAAGTTCTATAGAGAACAAAAGAGCCTGAGGAGCAGCAGGCTAAATGGTCAATTAGCATTTCTCCTTTGATGATTGAAATACATTTCTTGAATTCAGTTTAGCTGAATGTGGAGGCTACTAGTGATAAATTATGCTCTCTTTCATTATATTTGTGTGCATGCATCTATGTTTACCCCATCAACTGTTTCTTTTCCAGTTCTTTACGAACAACTTCCATTTTCTTTTTGGTCAAAATAGTTTTGTGTTTTGTAGCTTTACTGTCAGAGTTTGTTTAATTCTTTTGGCAATTTTTTGTGGTTAACAGCTGGATCTGGAATGAAACATGTTTGTCAATACAAGCCAGGCAATTATGAACTATTAGTGAAGCAGTCTTTCAATATGGAAATGGCCATTTTCTTGGAAAGGGTATGCTGACCTTATTTGATATGAGTTTATTCTTTTGCATTTTGAAGTTAAAGGATGCAGGAATGGACTAGATACTTCATCTTGGTACTGATGAACTGATACACCCAGCTGGTGCAAGTGAATATTCTTTGAGGCGGTTGCACCTTGATGTGCCTAACAAGTTCGATATGGTCATATTTCCAGATTATGTGAGTGGCATTATATAAATTATTAAGAAATTATATCAATAAGGGAACTTGGAATTGGTGGTTATGATTGTATATCTTGTTGTTCATTTGTAATCCTGGCCTGCGGTGAGAGCAGCAGTAAGCATTCAAGATGAAATATAGAGAAGGCTTGCAAAATGGAAAACTCGTAAATAGGCCTTCAAATGGCTGAATTCATTAATAAAAATTTCCTGAACACCTAAAAGAAATAATAGTAAAAATCAACTAAACTTAATCCTATCAAAACCTAGACTACTTAATTCCTAAAATGCCTAAAATGTATAAACAAAACTGGCACTTATCTACTGACCAAATAAAAAAAAACTGGTGCTTATCTACCTAGCAAAGCTGACATCTACTTCTATTTGGTCGGATGATGTTCCCAACACAATTTTGTGCAAGCCAGAAGGCAAAATTCTGTAACCACTGCTGTCGACGATGTTCAGGCTCTTGCACGCATTCAGCTCAAACTTAACCTTTTGACTCTGTTTTGCAGCTACAAAAACTCTTTCAAATCCAACAACTTGTTTGAAAGGAGTTTCCACAATTCCCTCCGGAGGCTTTGAGTACACAATCACCACTTCACTGCCATCTTTGTCACCGGTATTCTGGACTTCAACCTCAAAGGCTATTTTATCTTCACAAGTTAAATCATTAGCCACAACAGAAGGGCATGGTTGCTGGGCAGATGTGTCCGTCAATTCCAACTCGCGACATTGCTGGTTCTTATTCAGTTTAATAGGGATGGATACATTTGTGGGTGTCGTCACCTTGTAGTTAAAGGTTGTGTAGCTTAGTCCATATGCAAAAGGATATACCACTGAACCATTGAAGAATTTGTATGTTCTTCCAGGGTAACCTTTTTCCTCAACTGGACGTAATGGCATGGATGTCATCGGTAGCTTACTCACATAATCAGCTGTATACCATGTAAGGGGTAGTCTTCCTCCTGGTAAAGGCAACAAAAAAAATAATGAAATTACAATGCTTCAAGCAATTTTTTATTACGTAAAGTCAAGCATCAAAATGGCTGCTTACCAGGATTGTATTTTCCGAAGACAACATCTGCAATGGCACGACCACCTTCCTGACCAGGATGTCCAACCCACAAGATTCCTTTGATTCTATTATTATCCTTAGCAAATGAGATATCAACCCCACCTGCACTCATCACTACAAGAATTACTGGACCTTTGGAGGCATTAGCAACTTGGTTGATCAAGTCCTTTTGCAAACCAGGAAGGAGGAGATCATATCTATCCCTTGACTCTTCCTCAATTGTTCTATCTGTACCCACAACAAGTATAGTAGCATCTGCTTGCTTAGCAGCTTCGGTGGCTTGCAAGATCAATGTATCATTCGGGCATTTTACGTTAGGGCATCCTTGTTCGTATATCACTTGTCCAAAGGCAGAAAAGCCCGAAAGTGGAGAAACATATTGGCAAGGCAAACCTGCAATAGTAAAAGAAAGAAATATTGAGTAAATTGATGAACTGAACAATAACATGGCAATCAAATGTGTAACAGTTATATATGATCTTGTTACAACCTTCATAATTTCCGAGCATTTGTTTCGTAGCATTGGCAAGTGGCCCGATTATTGCCAGGGTCTTAAACGCATCAGGGTTTAATGGCAAAGTTGCATCAACATTGTTGAGAAGTACAATTCCTTCCCTAGCTGCTTCCGCTGCCAATTCAATATGGTCTTGAGTACATACATCATCCTTTCCAAGTGACGTAAAAGATGGACTTCCATCAAAGAATCCAAGCCTCATCAGTACCACATAGAGGTACTGTAGAGATGTATCAATTTCTGCCTCATTAGCTTTTCCTTGCTTGACTGAATTTTCAAGGGCATTAGGGTAAGTGACTCCACAGTCCAGATCTAAACCTGTAACATGCATGAAAGAAATTCTTCTTTAGTCTGTGCTCACACTACAAACATTACTCTTAAAAATGCATTTGGCTGATATATGTTAGCTACTAGCCTGCTTTTAGGGTCTGTGCCACGGCCTCTTCTGGTGTATCATCAAGCCAGCGCTGTTCTTTATGTATCACTTCTACGGAATCACAATCTGAAACTATATATCTGCAAATTAAAAGAGGATTAAAAAATTAAACTAAATAAAATTTATTTCAACATCTCTGACAACAAAAGGATTAAGTTTTTTTGCATACCCGTTAAGTTTCCACTCTTCTCTGAGTGTTTGTTTTAAAAGAATGGGATCAGCACAAGTTGGAACTTTGTTGACTTGATTGTAAGAGCACATTACACTACTCACATCACCATCTTTAACACACATCTCAAATGGACGAAGAAAAGTTTCAATCATATCTTGCTCAGTCACCTTCATTAAAAGAGAAAAAAAGAAGAAAAAAAGAAAACAGCTTTAATTTGCCTAGCAATATGATACTGAAATTTTCATCAATATATGTTTACGTCACTGAAATTACCTGTGCGTCGAATTTCAATCGATCAAACTCATACCAGTTATCAACATCATAAGCAGCGTAATGCTTGCAACATGCAGAAACCTTAAGAGGTCTAGAGCCCGGATCTGCTGTATGTTCTTGTCCTTCAACATCTTGCAAACCTCTTACATAATTAGCTCCATATACACCGACCACGAAAGGATCTTCTCCTGACGTCTCGGTGATTCTTCCCCATCTAGGGTCCCTTACGGGGTTTATGTTTGGACTCCAATAGGTTAATCCACCTTGCCCCAGATTGTACATAGCCCTTGCTTCTGTTGAAACAACCTGTATATATGCATATAACAACAACAGTTACAATGTTATTCATTAGCATTAAAAAAGAAGATAAATAACTAGATATAGATGGTGAAATAATTTCTACCTTTCCAATGGCATTCCAAAGCGACTGGTTAAAGGCTGCAGTTGTGTGGATAACGGTGGGAAAGCTTGTTGCACCAGGAACAATCTCAGTAAAGAATGTGCCAGGGCCAACATTTGAGACACCATGCAAAGCTTCAGACCACCAATTATAAGCAGGCAACCCCAATCTTGGTATACTAGAAGCGTTATTTCCCATCTGTTGCACCTTCTCTGCTAATGTCAATCTATCCACCAAGTCTTTGGCTCTAACTTCATATGGAAGGCTTTTGTCGCAATATCCAAAGTCAGACATGTTCTTGCCCCTCACTTCCCACTTGTGAGGATCACAAACGTAAGAAGGTGGGTCTGCTATAGGCTTAATATCACCGCCTGCTACGAAAATAGGTAAGAAGTAAATAATAAGGAAGAAAAGAATACGAAGAACCTTGAAGCTTTGTGCAGCCATGGTTTAACTCTTTTTCTGTTCTTTTCTTTTTGTGTGCTTGTGGACTGTGGAAAAGGTGAGGATAGGTGACCCTTTTTATACAGAAGTATTAGGTCAGTCACATCAAGAAGTGCAGTTTAATACCAACAACAAATTTAGAATATTTGATAAACACTACTATCATATATATAAAATTCGATAAATATTATAACCTATGAGTACTATATTTTTACCTAAATTCCCCCCCAAAAAAAAACTCTATTTTCTCCAGAACACTTACTTTAATCCCATAAATTTGAAGGGAATAAATAAATAAGAAAGAAAAACCATGCAAATATGTGATACTTTGAATAAAGACACTAATGGAGGTATAGGAACACTAACCTTCTAATAAACAATATAAAATTTGGGTATCATGACCCATTTAGACTCCTTTCTTACCCAAATTTTCTTCTCAATCAAATTCATGTGTGTGACAATTACAAATTATTAATTAATTAACTTGTTTATTATTGTTAATTTGTTCGTTATTCATTATGATTTAAATACATGACATTTTTCAATTTTTTACAACCTCTTCACACATTATTAATTTTATTAGGAGTCTTATGCCATATATATATATATATGCACATATAATATAGTATTTATATATAAATCCTCAATGTCAAGCTTTAATTATGAATCTTAATTCGTAGGGTGTGTTTGGTGCTGTTTTGTTTGGAGTTTTGTATTTTTTATTTTTGAAAACAACAATGTAGTGGTGTAATTCTACTAGTAAAGAAACCAAACACCGCCTTAACTGACTTTCAAAACGTATAAGTACGCCAGCGAATGCCCTCCGAACTTCCAACAAGTACCAGCAATGGCGAGTCTCTCCATCTCCAGCACCATCAGCTCGTTGTCACCCTCACTCGTTCTCTGCCCCCCAATTGCACGTACATCCTCTAGGCCTCTGCACCTGCCAATTCCGCCGGGTGTTGCGTTCTCCAGCCACATATATCATCACCGTAATCCGAGAGGGTTGGCGGTGGTGACACGTGCGGGTCCCAACACCAGCAGCTACGTGTTCGCGGTGGTGTTCCCGCTGTCTCTTCTGGCTGTTACCATCTTCACTTCTATCAAGATTGCTGATAAGCTTGACAAAGACTTCCTCGAAGATGTAATAAATATCTAAAAATCATGCCATTTTCCTTTTTTTGTTTATTCGAATTCTCCTCTTCTTCGTGTTGGCGGCTTAGCTCTTTGGCAATTTTCAGTTTTGCTTAAAGCGGGGGGCTTATTCAGATCGTATAAAATCTGGGTCTTTTGAATAAGATTTGTTGATTAAGTGGGGTGGGAAATTTGAGGAGCGTGTGATGCCCATTGGGTGTTTGATAAAAGTGCGGAATGGTATTGTGCTGATATTCGTTCTAGTCAATCCTGTTGGTGTAATTGATACTGGCCAGCCTCAGCTTCTGGTTTAGGCAATGCCCTTACTCTAAGCATTATTCATAATCTAACGTTGGATTGTTTTGTGGTGCAGCTTACCATTAATCAAGCAATAAGGGATGCAGATGAAGACGATGGTGGTATTGATGCTGACGATGATGAAATTTCTTTGGAGGACATAGTGCAAGAACCCGTGCTTCCACGCACTAGAAACCGGCCCAAGAGGGAAGTGTAGGCAGCATAGCTTTGTTTCATACTTGTATTAATTGTATAATTATTTGTTTTTCAGAATGTAGATGTACTCATAGAAATATCCATCCGAATAATGAAATTTGTGGGGAAAAGGCATTTGATTTTGAGCTTCTTAATTGAACTTTAGCATGCTAGTGCTTATAACATGCATGTTTTTTGGGTTTCTTTTTCTTGAAAGGCTATTGATACGATGCATTTTGATTTAATTATTGGTTCGTTCTTGGGCATTGTGTGGCCGTGGTATGTGACCCAGCCATGATAGCATTTCAACCATTTGGGAACAGAAGTTGCAACTTCATGAATGTGAAATGGTTGTCATTAAAAGAGAAACATTTTACAGCATTTGTTTGGGGGTGGGTGTTTTGGTTTGGCAAATCAAGGGGAATACCTATGGGAAGCAGGGTTGAGTCTAGGTACACGACTGGTGACCCAAGTTAAACAACCACATCAAATGTAAAGGGAGAGCAAATTCCACGCAATTTGTTGGATGAGCAAATCAGAAGCAAAGTCCACGGAATTCCGCAGATGGAATGAAATTGACAAGAAAACTAGATTAATCTCTATGTATCTCCACTTGGAATGGAGAACCTGAACCTGAAAGCAGTTTCCTCACCTAACTCCATTATTTTTCGTCGTCTTGCTGTGTCCATTTATAGACCTTCCACTCAGAAACTTCCAATATAGCCCCACTTTGAAGGCAGACAAATGAACTTGCACAGATAGAGTTCTCTCGTCCACTACATAGAATGAGTAAATATTAAATGCCTTATCTGTTGGAAAATATGAGAGCTACATGTTCTCCTTTTCTTGTCATTTCTAGGCCCATATTTGAACAAAGCAAACCTAACGCCAACGTCTAGTTACAAACTGCAGTGTCCAAGATTCCATGCTAGAGCTGATGCTGCAGCACTGCACTTGTCTTGAAGGATTGTCTATTGGAAGTTGTGCTTCTCTTAAGTCCCTTCCTCAAGGTCGTCTACCTGTTTCCTTAAAGCGATTGGAGATTGATGACTGCGGTGAGCTTGATTGTTCTAGAATCCTCTTGTACACATCTCTCACAGTATTGGAGGTGAGGAATGCCCATGATTCACTAGAATCATTCCCATTAGGCTCTTTTCCTAACCTAAAGAGCTTGCTTTGTACAAACATCAAGTCCTTTCCTGCATTAGAGGGACATCACCAGCATATCCCATCTCTCGATTTTTTAGGGATATCCAACTGTCCTGATCGATCTTTTCCCGAAGGGGGATTATCTGCCCTTAATTTGACAATGCTTTCTCTCTTCGATTGCAAATTTAAAGTCACTCCTCGAGCATATGCACTCCCTTCTCCCATCCCTCGAGCATTTGAGAATATCGAATTGTCCAGAGATTGAGTCATTTCCAGAGGGGGGCTTGCCATTCAAATTAAAATATCTTGAAATTGATGTTGTAATAAACTTATTGCTGGTCTAATGGAATGGGGATTGCACAAACTCCACTGTCTTACACATTTCATGATGAATGGAGGAGATATGGGGTTCTTTCCAGATGAGCAGCTGCTGCCATCCACTATTACCAAGCTTGGGGTTGGGAGTCTTCCAAATCTCAAAACTCTGGACTACAAAGGGCTTCAACACCTTACTCCATTCAGGAATTGAACGTCGATAACTGCCCAATGCTCCAATCCATGCCACCAGAGGGGCTCCCTGTCTCCCTTTCTAATATATCCATTTCCCGCTGTCCATTGCTGACAAAAAGTTGCCAAAAGGTGAAAGGTAAAGATTGGGCCAAGATTTCCCACATCCCATTGATAAGAATTGATCATCATCAACCCATTATCGCGTGAACTCGAAGTCTTAGAGATTTCATTTGGCTCAGGTATCCCATCTGCACTCTACAAAATAACATTTGTTAATCGTTCCTTTCATTTCGTAAACTTTTGAGTTTTGTCTATAATGTATCTCTTTATTTACCATATTTATTTTTTCTCAAGAAATTCTTCCATGAACATTATTGAGGCCTTTCAATTGAGTTTGTTTTCCTTGTCCTTTTAGTGTAATAGCTTAATTGCTTAATTCTTTTTTCTTCTGTCTCCCGATTTATTGAAGCACTTCAAAAAAACTGTGGATGTGTAATTATACCAGAGTTGAAAAGTCTCCCTAATGAAAATAAGTTTATTCAGAAAGGGGTGACTTTATTATTCAATTGAGATGTATGCTATCCTGATAAGTTGGTTAGCATGTGGAAAATGATAGAGAAAGTGTGTGTCTGCATATGCATCATTTTTGAACCTTTATCTTGTGTGATTTTCCTTAATTAGCTGGTCTATCAGTAAGAGTTAGTTTTTTTTTGGGGTTTAGGATATGTCCCTAATATGAGTTAAGCTGCATATAATGAAACAGAACACACTTATAACCTAGCAGTCAATCAGCAGGAACAACCAAAATTCAAAGCCATTGCTTTTTGAAAGGTATGACTCCTGCACAATCTTCATACAAAGCTCTCTGGTTTACAAAAAACTCCCAGCACGCATTGGGTGTTTATCTCTATTTTTATCTTCTATAAAGAATACTCCTTCTCTTAAAAGGTTAAAAGGGCCAGGAAAGAGTGAGGCTACTGAAGTTCTTTTTATTTTAGTAGACTTGCATTTGGTTCTGGTTTTCTTGCTTGCATGAAGTTGAACTTCCAAATCATCATTCCTTTGCTCATTCTTTTATTATATTTTTCAAAATCCATCTTGACATGCGATTTGAAAGCTTCCAGGTCTATGAACAGACAGAAAAAAGAAAAGGAAAATGAGAGTACTATAACTCTCATTATTAGTGCACTACATTTGTTTTTAATATGAATAAAATTTGTGCTGCATATAGCGGTATAAGTGAGATCATATCTTCTATCAGAAGCATTTTTGTATTTGGTGATGCATTCTATCCTTGCTGTTGTAAGAAACATAAGGACCAAATTTACTTGACGATCATTGGACATTGTTTTGGTTGCTTTAGTTGTCATGTCGTTGTGAATCTTTGTAATTTACTGTCTTATGCTCAACACAAGTTTTTAAAATTTTTCTATTTGGAAATTCAGGTGTCTGGCAATGTACAAGTAAACACAATAATTGAACTTCCATATATGATGAATTTTACAAGTATTTTTTGTTGGTTGTAACGGACGAAAACAACCTTGATCCAGCACATATCTTCCCTTTTATGTCAAAAGTAACAAGAATTTAGAATTCCAAGGAATCAATCTTACATACTCAACTTCTTTTAAATAACAGAGAGCATATGCTCCCCGCAGTCTTGAACCAACGCACTGCCACAGACAAAACAAATTGAAGCCATGAAGAGCCTCTCCTTCACCTTCTCTGCCGTTCTAATGCTTCTGTTACTTTCTTTTGGTAAGGTTTCTATTATTCACAAAATCTGTGCAGCCCTTTAGCATTAAAAAACAAAAATAGGATAGAACTGCAAAGAAATGAGCCTTTGTATGGTGTGCAGATTAATCATTAATCAGACATGTGTTTTATGGTTACAGGCAATCAGCTGATGATGGGACAGAGCTGTGAGTGTGAGTAATCATTTCCGAATCCAGGCTGCACACAAGATGAATGCAATAATCTTTGCATTTAGCATTTTGGGAAAACTGGGAAATATGGAGCTCCAGTTTATGGGGTTTGCTTCATGAGTAAAACTTATATCTGCCGTCAATGTTAAAAGCCTCTGGTTACAACTTAGGCTAGTTTATCTTTGTCTTGCTTTGTTTTTGGGACTAACAAACAAAGTCATTGAAGTTCAATAAAGTGGATTTCTATTTGGATGCAGTGAAATGTGTTTAAAGGTACTGAATAATAATTAAGAAACTTGAAGTTGATGGGCTGAAGTTGATATTGATCAGAACAGTATATTTAATGAAACTGCAACATATTTTATCTAAACCTCAAAGAAGGTTACCAAGATGACTTTGTCATAAAACAATCCTTTTTTGTGTGTGTGTGCATGCGTATTTCTCATGGAATAATCTTACAAAAGGGAAGAGCACGTCCCTGTAAACAGACTGCTCTGTGCATATTTGGACCCAGCGGTAGAATCGTGCTCCTCTAGAGAAGCAAAACAAGCTGAGCTGATCGATACAGACTGAAGCCTTCTAATAGAGATTAAATCATTAGTCTGTGTCCACCGGTCAACCAAGCTTGACCAATCTTGATGCCTGCTTATAAGATTGGCAGCCTATCAGGCGAATGACTCATTGAAAATATATACTGGCCTTCAATTCTTCATCTAGATAGCAGGGTGGAACCCTTTGCTTTTAATTTGGATTCCAGACCAAAGAACTTCAATCCTGAGAGCACAAGGTCTGCTGCTTTCTTCTCCATATGTTCAATTAATATTTCATCATAGACAATTGTATTAGCTTCGGTTAAAAGTTTGCGCGTTCTCAAATTAGCAAAAACCTTCCTTGCCTCTTCTATGGTCCCGTACTTGCACATACCAGATATAAGTGCAGAGCATATGATGTTATCTGGAGGCCAACCTTCTTGCATCATTTCATTCAACACTTCCGTCACTTTCTCAGCACCTGATTTACAGGCGTGAAGAATAGTAAGAGCGTACTTAAATGCCATGGGCCCATTTGTAACATTCCCCAGGCAATCACGAACAAGCATCATAGCTGCATCGATCTCCCCAATTTTGCAGAGACCTTTCGCAAGAGAATAATAAGCATCAATAGAAGGAACACATGACATCTCTATTATTTTATTATGGCAGACACAAGCTTCCTTAATATTTTCATCTTCAACAAAACATATAAGTGCAGTACTATATGTAGAGGAGTCAGGCTCAAAATTCAAATTCTTCATTTCTTGGAAGAGTGATAATGCTTGTTTCACCTTCCCAGTCTTGCAGAAAGCGTCCATTAAGATCCTGTAAATTGGAATGCCAGTGTAACCTTTCACTTTTAACTCATCAAAGACTTGTATAGCCGTGACTGTTCTTTCCTCCTTCTCAACCACAAATGAGAAGAACTTAGAAAGATCATCAATAACAGAAAATCCTAACTTCTGCATCTGCTCAAGCAACTTGCAAAAGTCATTCATTTGTCTCATCTCTGCAAACGCCACCAACATGGGATTCACGGTTGCAAATTCTGGCTCCAAACCCTCTTGGACAGCAACCTGAAAAAGCTTATGAGCTCTATCAACTAGCCTTGCATCACACAATCCCTCGATAAGTGAATTGAAAATCCCCAAATCAGCCCTGTATCCTGAATCTACCAAATCCTTCAACAAATCACAAGCAGACCCAACCTTCCCATTCTTCACAAATCCTTCAATTAAGACACCATAGGTTGCCCTGTCAATCAAAATCCCTTTCTCTTTCATCTCCCTAAACAACTCGTATCCTCTTTGCACCCTCCCTCCCTTACACAACCCTGTAACCAATGTGACATACGCCATCACATCCGGCTCCACCCCATCTCTCCCATCTCCTCCCAAACAAGCAAGCACCCATCCAAATTCTTTTCCGAAACCAAAATCCTAACCATAGCTGTATAGGCAAAAACATCCGGCTTACATAACTTCCCCCTCATCCTCCCCAAAACCTCCAGCATTTCCTCTATCCGCCCAACCTTACATAACCCCTTGATCAATATCATGAATGTGATACTCTCCTCCACCAAACCATCCCCTCTAAAATCCTCATACACTGACAATGCTAAATCTAAATAACCCGTTTTGACCAACGCATCCATTATCCGATTATACAAAAAAACACGCGGCTTTATTCCAAAATTCTTCATTTTCTGATACACATAATAAACCCTTTGTCCTCTATTGTTATCAGCATGCATTCGTATTAAAATTTCAAACTGTTTTTCAGTTGGTGGCTTCCCTTGGGAATCCATTAGCTCCGGTAACTGATCAGCAGCGCGAAAACGACCATTTCTATTGAGACAATAAGCTAAAGCATTGTAAGAAGCGAAATTATGTTTAAATCCTTTCTGCTTACCAGCCCAACGGAAGAACTTGGAAGCCAGAACGGGGTCGTTCTGGACTTTGAGCACTTCCGCCACCAGCGAGGCGGTGACGCGGCGGAGCTTGTTGAGTTCTAAGGCCACCATCGGTCCCCACGTATACTGGTTCTTGCGGAAGGCGTCGACGATGAAGCGGGCGATTGGGGAGAGCTTCGGGTTTTGGTGGGGATTGGGAGTGGACGGTGGTGATGGGTTCTGGGAGAGATAATATGGATCCCATTTACGGAGATCGAAGGGTGGTGAAGGTGGTGGAGGGGTTTGGGGAGTTTTGAGGATTTGGCGGTTGGAAAAGAGGCCACCGTATACGACGGGGCGGTTTTGAGAGGGCTTACGGTGGCCGTAGAAGAAGTAGGGTTTTGGGGCTTTCGCTGGGAGGGACTTGGGTGGCATTTCGGATTCTATTGGGTGATTTTCATGTCCCTTTGACTGTCGTTAAGGTTTCAGTTTTGCTTCTCTTGAGTTCCTGACAATGTTTGCATCAGATATTCTTACTGGAAAGTAGGGGCCTTTTCGTAACAAAGTCAGCCGACAGACGTGTTTACTTAGAGTCTTCGTACACACGAACTCTGTTGAGTTCCAACTTCGCAGTCCCACACTTCGGTTGTGTCTTTTACGGTTGTTTGAGTTGCATCTCTTTCAGTTTCAACGGTCCCTAAACTCTATTATGTATCTCAAATTCGAAACTTTCTTTGTGTCCTGTCGAGGCAATCTGCTTCGCCGTGTACGATGATTGGCACTTTTACAGTGCACACTTCTCTGGTTCCTAGAATTGACCAGACAACTGGGGTTGCAACGAACCTTTTGTTTGATGTGACAGTGAAAGCATTTAGAGTAATTTATTAATCGTTCTGGCTATAAATCAGCCAATGACAATGCAGTAAGGTGCCTCAGCAAGCTTACGAGTTCAGCCACAATATAAACTATAGACTATAGACTTCCTCTTACAATTCTCCAACCTCCAATATAAACTATCAATTTAGGAAACACAATGCACTCATTTTCTCTGCATTTATACCATGGCAGAGCAAAGTGCATTAACCTCCTTTTATATGGTATCATCTTCCTTAGAATGCCAGCTCAATGATACGAGGGACAAATAACAAGATTTTTAATAGTGATATTACATGAATCTTCACTCGTTAAAAAAATTGAACTAGGCCTTGATATTGACAGATTTCTTCCACCCTGAAGCAAATGTTTCTGCTACCAGCAGAGGGAAAGCAATAGTTGCGTCACAATGTACCTGATTCAATACGATCAAGAGAAGAGACAGGAATCAAAATAGTACATTTGTTCGCTTCTGAGGAAAACAAACTAGGGCAAGCAAACTGAAAAAATGAAAGTGGAAGCCAAGAAAGGATACAGAGGAAAGACGCAATTGTAGAAGTCGAAAAGAGATTTATAATGAGCATATCTAATAACCGAAGGTGAAAGACAATGGGGTACACAAAGGCATACCTTAACCGTTTTAGCAGAACCTCGTATTTTCCCCCATGAAATAGCCTCATCAGGGCGGGCTCCAGAATCACTCCCATCAAACTCTTGTGCTGTATTTATGTAAACAGCATAATCAGCACCATTACGCATCATATTAGCATTGCAAATATGATGCTTTGGCAGTCCACCTCCTAGAATTATCATTCCTGTTTTCCTGGGACTTGCATGGACTGCTTCACTATTCATGGCCCTAATATCTGTTCAACAAGTAAGATGATTAGATGTTTATATCCCAATCTTCAATCAGTCAATAATAAGCAAGTAATGAAGATGAAACAGAAAACACCTACCTTGCACTACATCAATTATCAGACCTGGGCTGCGAAAGGAATGAAAATACAACATATCCCCCAAAGAGCCATCTGTTAAGCCTGGACAGAAGACAGGAATCTTGTTCTGGAAAATACTCATAAATAATAAAAATGAGCTGTGGTGCCGTAAGGGAAAAAACAAATATTACCAACATTATGCTTAGAAGTCCTCCTAGACTATCATTGCATAGAGCAAAATTACCAAACCTAGATTATGAAACTTCAGAAACATGATATGAAATGCATGATCTCTATTGAAACAGTTGCTTGAGAATTCATTAGTGGGGTCTTTTTCAGTAATAAATGAATTCAATCACTTGTTCAAGATAAACTCATGATATTAGTTGACAAGACTCATATCTTACCGCATTGTAGTAGAAAGGATAAAGTAAGGTAGTCAAGCAGTAACAAAATATCTTCACAGCGTTAATGCAATACTTCATAATAGATTAAACAACTATAACTAACTTATTAGTATGATATATGACCTCGATGGGGCATAGTAAATGAATGACATTTATTACAGAAGGTTATTGATACCAACACAAAAGTCCATAACGTAGATCTGACCATTTTGATCATAGAAAAAGAAAAGGGGAAAAAGTAGTTATATTATCACAGCATTAAGCTAAATAGGTAGGACACTTGCCTTGTGTGCCCAGTAGAGGTATGAACTTTCATTATTTATTTCTCTTCCCAAGCGTGCAATTAACTTTGATGGAGTCCACAATTCATTCTGTGAAAACCAAAAACAAGAGGCAAGAGGAACTTAACAGAATGGCAGACACCACTAGGTCACAAGAGATACATCTAATAACGGTAACTGAAATCAATAGAATAGAGTACAAATACAAGCTCCATTATTATTCGATTTGACCTCATCTACAATCTTCAAATTCTTTACTAACAATGACAATACACAAAAAATTAGACCCCAAGAATTAACCTTCTTTTTGATATTTAGTGAAAACTAAAAGGGCCCAAATCGAATGTGACAATTTGGAGGTCAAATTTGTCAGACAAACAAGAGGGTATGACATAGTCTGCATGTGTTTGTGTGTAGAAGTACCTCTTCAAGTTGTTCCTTCAACATCTGATCAAAAATTGGAATGATCCAATCCTCAAATTTGCAGTAGTTGTCGTTAGGAACCAACAAGTTACCAATGCGATTCAATCCTCTTGAACGTAACCGAGCCCCAGGTAGATAAAAGTCACCTTTATATGTTGGTGCCAGGCACTTTATGAGGTCTTCTTCTATGCCACCAGTTGTAGTAACTATTACATCAACCTGCAGTCAGTTTAACAGCAACACTTCTTAGATGGAGTGGAGAGCCACCAGAGAGCCACATCAAGAACATGATGACAGATTTGAAATCCTTTTGAAAATTAAGGCCAAAGATAAAATTGATTTTAATTATTTACAGCATTTAACTTTTTCAGATTCCTTTCCCTTATTTTCTTCTTTTTCTCCTTCTTAGGTTCCTGGTGTGGTCAAGATTCAGAGGATTGTAGCCAGTCTACTACTTTTTATCTCATTACATTTTTCATTTCATCTCAATTCTACACAAAAGAAGTCAGATTCTCAGGTTTGATTAGCAACTCACCATGCGATGCTGAGTAAGATAACGAACAGTATCTCGAACACCAGATGAAATAAGATTTGATGTAAAACCCAAAAAGACCTTGCATCTGACAGATTCTCTGTAGGCAGGATCCTTCTCCTCCTCACTGCAGTCCTCAGTTATAGCCTCATCCGCAAGCCTCCAGTCTAGCTTCAATTGGATCGAAAATGTTTATATAGAATAAGCTAGCAACAACCGAGTAGTAGAAAAAGAAACACAGACACAGCATCCAAAACAGTATGAGGGAAAAAAAAAGAAAAAGAAATCTAGATAAATGAAACTAACCATCTCATTGACAATTTCCATAGCTTCTCCAAGATTGGAAGCTTGAAATCCAGTGGAAAGCATGGACTTGAGAAGCTGGGAGTAGTTTACACCCTGATTGAAGTCATAACCCTCAATTGTAGTACACTTCCCCTCAAGGGAATCTGACTCTTTAAAAACGGTGGAGTGTACAGAGTTCATTAGCTTATCCTCCATATCTCCCTTTTCTTCTTTTGTTCTTGGCCAAGAAACCTGGCAATGGAATAAACATGAATAAACATTAAGTCTCATTCTTCACATCCCAAATATCCATCAATATACCCTAAAATAATGAAACTACTTCATTAAAAAAATCAAGAAAAAACCCTGCTTTCTGTGAACCCTGTATCACACTATAAAAATCCCAACCAAATATGGAAATAGCTTAGAAAATTGAAAGTAATGTCAATAGACAATTAAGGTACAAGCAGAGCAGCAAATTGAAGAACCCAAGTTTAAGCAGAGACAGAGAATGTAGTTAATTTACAGATTCTTTTGCAGGCAAAAAGCATTCATGAAACAAATACAAAGCAATCCGAGAGCGAGACTAAAACAGTAATCTTCAGCTTTGTAAGTAATTTCTAAGAAACGTAGAGAGAGAACAAGGAGAGAGTCAAACCGGGTTGAAGAGCTTCGGGTCCGAAGGACAGAAAGCAGCCTTCTTTAGGCGGCGTGGAGAGACCGATGGAGAGTCGAGAGGGCTTTACGGTGCGCACCTTGCGGCAAGATGCTTTCTTGTTATGTTCCTTATTTCCTTTTTCTTTTATTTAAATGAAATTGGGAAAAGAAGCACAAAAAGGTCGTTATAATCTTTTATTCTTTAAAAATTTTTGAAATTTGATAATTTTATGCTGCTTGTCTTAATTTGGGATTTATTTTTCTGCTAATTAATTTGATTATTGATTTGGAAAGCTAACTTCTTTTTTGTGGGAAAATGTTTAAACTTTGACACCAAAAACAGAGGTAAAAATTCAAATTCAACTTATTTTCTTATTCTCTTAAAATTAGTGACTTTGCCAAAAACATTTGAGTACTATTTGGATTATTGTTATCTATTTATGTATTTATTTTTTGGACAGTGAGTTTTATTAAGTTTGAAAAATTATTAGATCAATGTTACTCGAAATGGATTGGTTATAATTGGGAATTCTTTACTTTTTTCTTTGAATACATGACTAAGAATTCTTAAACAAACTTATAAAACATACACTTGAGTAAAAAGCTTTGTTTTCTAATCATCTATGGCTTCATCTTGGATCCATCACAGACATGGATAGGCCGTTCAGTGAGTAATTTTCAATCTCCTTCTCCTCCACATTTGTCTCTATCATTCTTCTACCAGCGGAAAATGCAGGGTTCTTCGGCAGCGGCAGTTGCATTTCTC